CTTTTCTTTGCAAGCTCCTTTGACTACGATGACCTGGATGACTGAGAACCTTCACAGACATGTGAATGAGTGGTATTTGGTGTGTTAGCCGGCCTATTCCTGTTAGCTGCAACCATAAGAAAACATCTCAGGCAGTATGAAACGTTTCCGTTGCAGTTCATGTAATGTGGTGGCTGTAGCTCTTGAGGTAGAGCAGGTGACCTACTGATTGGAAGGTTGGTGGTTAGATCCCTGGCTCCTCCAGTCTGCATGCCAAGTATCCTTGGGCAAGATACTCACCCCAAGTTGCTCTCCGATGCATCCATCGGAGTGTGAATGTAGTTAGAAAAGCACTCAGTTTAGAGTCAGTGCTTGTGAGAATTGGTGTGAGTGGGTGAATGTGACATGTTGTATAGAGTGCTTTGAGTACTCCGGGAGAGTAGAAAAGCGCTATATAAGAATCAGTCCATTTACCATTTGTGGAGAAGGCCTTTTTGGTTACCACAACAGCAAAGGAGATTCTGTCAAACGCAGCCATGAATCTGTGCAAATGGGACAAAATCACCAGATCTGAGAGTTATGTGGACAGACAGTGCACACAAATGAGGTGGTCGTGGAAATGTCAGAATCAGAATCAGTTTTATTGACCACGTATGTGTGCGCGTATACAAAGACAACAACAACACGTATGGTGCAGAGAGAAAAAATGTTGGAATGAAATTGTGGGATAAATAAGGGATGGATAAGTAATTACATACAAAAGAACAAAACAGTGTATGCAGTACGCTTTGATTTCAGCAGGTATGGTCCTGTACTATGGCTGGTACAGGACTATGTGAATGTAGTAAGTATTCATCAAAGTGATGGCCTATAGAAAGACGCTGTCTGCTTGTTTTGGCATACAGTGCTCTGTAGCGCCTACCAGCACCAATGACTTTTTCTGCAGACCTCATTGTCTGTTGTAGTCTGGTCTTGGCCTGTTTGGTGGCTGATCCAAGCCCTACAATAATGGATGAGCAGAGAACAGACTGGATTATAGACTGGATCAACAGTTCCTGAGGCGAGACTGTGGATCCCAGAAACCTGAAGGTTTCCACAGCAGACACAGTGCTTTTGAGTAAGGTGAGGGGGGATAATGGAGAGTCCACAACTAGGGCTGGGCCATATCATACCGTTCACGGTAATACCGGTATAATGTTGGGCAACAATAAGGAAATGACGCATGTGCAGTGCCTTTGTTTTCATACGCACATGGCGGAAAAAGCATGGTGGCGACGGAAAATGAGAAGGGCGAAAGCGGATCGTTGAATGAAACGGATGAACCAGAATTGGTTTGTAAAAATGCTGCAGCTTCAGTGGTGTGGAACTGGTTTAGCTTTCGTCCGTCAGATACACAACAAAGCACTATTTTGTCAAATGTTTTAGTACGACTTTGCTAAGCTACGAAGCCGCACCGCTTGATGGATTGTCGGAGCATTACGGCTATCGTAGGCAGGAGCCTCGCGGAGTGATACGTACTGTGCTTCAACATAATATTACCGTATTGTGTGTGTATAACCTCTTTTTAAGTTTTGTGGATATTATACATGGTTATGCTGAGGATATGTCGGCCAATTTCCACTGGAAATGCCTTTTGGTTAAACTGTCAGCAAGGAATTTGCATTTGCACTGTTAAATTTTTATATAACTTTAATGCACATAAAAAGCAGCTGCTTGTTTAAGTGAAAATACATTGATGGGGTTTTTTTGCACTAATAAAGTTGTGGAGTTGTAAAGTATTTTGTCTTAGTGTCAATCATATCGTAAGTTATATCGTTATCGGAAATTTTCAACTGTATATTGTGATAAATATTTTTGGTCATAGTGCCCTGCTCTAGAACTGGGCGATATGACCCAAAATTCATATCTCGATATTTTGTTTTAAAGCCATAAGGTAAGAACAAAAACAGAGTTCTTTTTGCTGTGTCCCAGATGTCACACGGGCACTTTTATTTACATACAGCGTAGATGTACATGAAGAAATTACTCAAAAATAAATTATCAGCATTTATTAAATAATCATGGTCCATAAATAAAAGAAAACAATGTTGTTTTTGTGCATAACAAAAAGCTCACAATTGTGCAGTCAAAATGTAAAAATAATAAAGACAGATTTCACAGCTGCTCTATTCCTAACTTCTACTGTGTGACTGACAGCCTGGAGTTTGAAATCCGCTTTGTAACCATGTCTCTCAACAGGTGCCATTTATGGTCCTTATACACACAATACGGTAATATTACGTTGAAGCACAGTACGTATCACTCCACGAGGCTCCTCGGTAGCCATAATGCTCCAACAATCCATCAAGCGGTGCAGCTCCGTAGCTTAGCAAAGTCGTAGTAAAACATTTTTTGACAGATTGCTGAGCGCCGTGTTTCACATAAAATCGGTTTGCGTTCATCAAGCACAACCAGAATTCATACATAAGGCGTGCTGTCAATTTATGAGAAAATGAAAGGATTTTAGGCCGTGCTAGTAACTCGTTAATGGAGATTTGCCGTGTTCATCTTGTCATTGTCTGCAGGCGAAGCTATGGGGGAGGAGGGGGAGTTGTGTTCAGTGAAGGAGAGGCGAGGACGAGTAACGTTGCGTAGAGACAAAAGTGGATGAAAGAGAGGCAAACTTACGGTGCCACAAGAATAGTTATAATGTAACATACACTATATCCATATAAACGATATTGTCACATCTTATATGTCGTATGAAAATATATCAATATTTAAAAAAAAACTCGATATATCGCCCAGCTCTACCCTGCTCTATCCGCAACCGTCTCTAGTTTTGAGCGTATTCAGTTCTGTTACTCTGACTGCACCACAGGGCCAGGTGTTGAACCCCACATCTGGTAAATGGAGTGGTTATTATATAGCGCCATTCTACTCTGAGTGCTCAGATAGAGTAGAAAAGCGCTCAAAGCTCAAAGCGCTTTATACAACTAATTCTTTCACCCAATCAAACCCACATCCACACCACACAAGCACGTTTTCTAAGTCGTTAAGTGCTTACTATCTAACAGTCATACACAGTCATACACAGTCATACTGCGATGAATGCATCGGAGAGCATCCATTCTTGATGAGTCCTGAACTTTCAGGTGTTAACTACTTTACTTGAGGTAGAGGCCATGTTGAATTCCCGACCTCTTTCTTATATATACAGTGATGCATCAGAGGTCCGTTTGGGGGAGACTCACTTCTATTCTGCCAAAGACTACACTTTGCCCATCTCAGACGATCAACGTAAGCTGGGGGGACATTGGTGGAGGATGAGTATGGGTAGAGATTCTTAACCAGCTTATGGAGCCACTGGCAGTGACAACTTGACAGACTGCTCTGAAGTGAACTGCTCTGGATTTGCTCTGAAGTGTTGAAAGTGGGAGATGTTGTCTTGACTGGAGACAATAACTGACCCTCCCAAACCTGGAGGATCGGGAGAATAGCATTTTTTTCCAGGGAGTGATGGACGCATTTGTTCAAGTAATGTTCGCACTTGTGAGGAAGTTTGCTGAAGAGACCTGTTTGACTATCATATCCATTAGAGATAAGGTATCCAGCTACCTTACCAAAGTAATGATGATGAACAACTGCTGATGGGGGGGGGTGAGGATGTTGTGAATTGAAATTAAATGACACTTTATGATATTGGGTTCAGCTGATTCAGCTTATCCTTCTTGTCATTTATTACAGTGAATATATAAACTGCAGCTATGTTTAAACAGCTAGTGACAATCATTTTTGCTTTATTGTGAAAGGTATAGACAGGAAGTGTTTTTATTTTGAAATGCAGGGAATTATCCTAGTGCTGCTGCTAGCCTCTTGCTGATGTTATGAAGGTTATGCGCAGAATATGAAAGTTATGTATCCCTTGCTATTCGTCAACATCAGCATTTTCATCAAGTAAATATTTAGTTTGAAATTGTCGGTTTCAGTCGTTATTTGAAACGTCCACCACACAACATGCCTTGAGTTGATTATTGTTGTGAACCACCACTTAAAGGTGGGTGATTTAGCCTTGAAATTAAATCACAGTGTTTCAAATAAATTCACATTTATGACATAAACACTAAACAAAATTTCATCGCCGAGCGCAGCAACCAGGCAGCTGCATTTATTAGTGTGCACAAAATGAAAGTTATTTTCTTATCAAAGTTTCTGTCACTGATGACAGACAACCCATCTATGTGTCACCACCAGTATTATAGTTCAGCTGTATACACTGACCTGGTATTGCAATATGCCACTTGTAATTGTATGCAATAAGTACGGGGTTTTTAAATAATTCGCTACATTCGCACCTGCCTCAGGCCTGTCTGTGCAGTCCTCCAAAGGATTCCCTTCCTCCCCTGGAGAGCTCTGAGGCTCCATAGAGAAGTCGCAAGGCTGGGCACGTGACAGCGGAGTCTGTGCTTGCTCAGGTATCGACCCCTCCCTCGTGGTCGAGTCATCTTCATTCCCATCATTCTCTGTCTCAGTGGTGCAGGCGTTCTCATGATCAGGCTCTTTTATAACTGCGGCACAATAGCAGAAAAATCAGGATTAATGTTAATGTTCTACAAGCCCGTGGTTACCATATAAATAGACTGATACAACAGATCAAATCAATGTAAAGACTTATTACTTGCAAAACTGTCCAGATCTAAAATATTGATATATTATTGGATATTTTTGAACAATTAAGTTCAAAATACAAAACTTGAATTTGCAGAAAAGTAAAAGTCAACAATGGAAATCAAATTTATCATGAAGTGTATGAATATATTATTGTATTACATTTTTATGCTGTTCATAAAAAGGTAATGATTGTGCTTGATGGTGATGTCCTGGAGTCAGGTGGTCTGCCAGCACCACTAACCTAACCCCATAGAGGCCTGTATAGGGTTAGGGTAAGTAAGTGGCCCCCAAATCACATGACTGATTTAAAATGACACAACCTCGCAGTGTCTCTTTTCAACTTTTGTCCAAAGTGTGAACCAATATGTACCAGTTTGTTTATTTTGCTGACAGACAAAGCAAAATGAGACTTATGATAAATGATTTACACGATGCTTTCCATGAATGCATCGTCACATTTAGTGCAATAAGAAAAGGTAAAAATGGGATTTTCTAAAGAAAGCCGTAACAAGCAGAAAGTGCTTGTAAGAAAAAAAGGAAAAACAAACATGTCACTCCCCATTTCTGTAGGAAAAATGCACCACACCAACCAGGGGAAGAGTGAGCGTGATGGTAAAAGTAGTGTAGTCATTATTTTCTTTTGTGCATCCAAACAGTGAGCCAACTGTTGAATGTCACAGACACTGGTAAAAAATCTACCAAAGGCAGTTTGCAATATAAACACTGTCCCCACGTGGACAACAGGAGGATGCACCCTGAACGTGCTGGGCTTGTGATGTCATTAGTTATTTTGTTTTAGCAGCAAACTGCAAAAACACATAATTTGTTCCCATTTTAACACTACAAAAAAAAGTGCCAAAAATGGTCACTATGTGCACAGAAGAGTTCATGAGAGGTTCGCGTGTGAAACGCATGCTCAGTCATGCTTTAGGGCGCATTTGGAGTTGGAGAGCCTTGGATGCCCTTCAACAAGCCTGGAGAACTACTTCAAGCACTTATACGTTTCTATATTGTGGTAAACACGTACTTGGCTCTGTAGTCATATTAGTCATCAAGTTATAAGTAAATAAGCATTATTTATGACTACGTCCATGTGCGTTTACCTTTCAGGTCTGAAGTGTATTCCATTGGTGCCATCCATTCATATTCATACATTCGCTTGCTACCGGAAGGGAGCATGCTGAAGATGTCATCTGTGGTGGACTCGGAATCTACGTGCATAGACACGGTCCCGGCCATCCCGCTGTCCGACCACAAGTTAAGGGAATGCGGGTCTGGCCCTTGGCGCACCTCCCTGTCACCGGCCTGGTCGCTCTGGTCTCCGTCCATTTCAGCACATCCTCTCGAGTTCTTGTCTTTCATCAGATAGTGACAAATGGCGTCTATATTTTCCTTCTTCACACCAGACATGAGCGCTTTGGCTCTCCGTGGGTCGATATTGTTGTGCTTGGCTCCAGAGCTGAAGTCATGTTTCTTGAAGCCAGCCTCTGCAGGCGGCTCTACGCTCGCCACGCCAGGAAATGCGTCCCTACCATCCCGCTGAACTGTATCCAGTTGTGCTTTTAACATTTCGATTTCTTCGCTTTTCTCGCGAAGTTCCATTTTCAATACTCTTATCCGGATGCTGACCATTTTACGGATCTCGGACAACGCAGTCTCCAGCACTACGGTGATGTTTCTCCCGAGGTGCTCAGTGATGTCGCTAACCGAGCAGAGAAGCTCTTCGTCGGGTTCCAGCTCCACGAAATCACCGTCAGCTGCACTTACTGACCCGGGAGGCTCCATGAAGACGCCGTGGGCTTCAGGAGACAGGCTCGCTTCAGTGAAACTGTGGTTTCGTTTGCGACTCATAGATTATTGGGATGGAGCGCTCGGTTTTCTTCAGTTTGGGTAGCTGGAAGCTATTTAGCAAGCTAATGTTTGGATGGTGCTGAGACGGTCGGATTGTTAGGTTTGCCTCACTTAACGTGACTGTTACCGGAAATGTATTTTCAAAATAAAAGCATGTCGTGTCGAATAGCTGTCTGGATGTAGGCTCATTACCCATTTTGTTTCGAAATGCGTGAATGGAAGTATTGTTTTCGACACGTGGTACTTGACAGACACAGAACAGAGCTGCAGCAATATCAGAGTTTACATGAATTACTATAAGCCAAAAACATGCACCAGGAAGCGAATGCACTGCACTCAGTGAAAATAGGAATGGAACTGATCTTATATTTATTTCACACATAACTATACCATATAAAATCTATTTGAAAACAAAAGACATATCAGTACATCTGTATATGCTGTCTCTATAGAAACATCTGTATACTTATTTGTACATAATCTGTTCATAACTATTCCCACCTGTTAACCACTCTGTGTATAATCTGCTCCTATTGCACTTACTGCTCTTGAACTTCTGATTAGATGCAAACTGTATTTTACTATCCCGTATAATTCAAGTCATTTGATTATTATGTGATTATTATTATTACTTGGTTTGTTGTTTGCTTTGCTCCTGCTAAATTGCTTTAATAAAACAATCTTCAGAAAGTCTAAATTGTGGACATTCCCTTTTAACCTGCTGCAAAGCAGTAAATGTAAAAATCTGAGTATTAGCCTTTAAATAAACAGTAACACCTTGGAGCTTAGTTTTCCAAGCCACTAAATTGAATCCACCAAGTCCACCTATGTAGAAGGGAGCTTGTGCAACAGTGTGGCTGGTGAAATACTGGGCCTGCAAAGCTATTCATGACCACTGGTTTTTATCAGAGTAGGCAGGGTAGACATCTGGAGGATAGAGGCAGTTAGAACTGGGGGAGTCCCCTCACCCAGCAGCTCCATCTAACTTCTTCAAAGACTACTGGGTAATACTCACAGGAGCAAACATTAGGATTTCTTAAACAAAGAGCCGGTTCAGATTTCCAGTACTGGGGTGCTGGCTCTACAGATTAACAACGCTTTTCAAAGCTTTTAATCAGCTCAGAAACACAGGCCTACATCATAATTTTAAAAAGTAAATTTTACTTTAAAATAAAAGCACATCTGAAATTAAGGGAGCACTGTGTGACATGGTTCACTGTATATATCTACAGGATGATTAAAATGAATTATGTATTAGCAAAAAAGCTGTTTACATGTTGTACATTTAGCCAACAATGTTTTTTCATTGATATGTTGATATAAAAGTGCAGGTGGGGTATCTGTCCACCTTCTCTGTTTTAAAATGTAATAGATGCCCTTATCTGTTTAACGTGGAGAAGGGCATCTATACAAGTAGTTGTATGTTGAAATGCAGGGTTAAAGTGGACATGAAACTCCACATGTGTGAAGACTATTTGAAGCGTGGAGCCCTGCTCTCAAAAACTGGATTTAGGGAATAAGTGCTTAAAGTTAGAATTTTTAGAATATGTTTAGCTCCATCTTGTGCCAGTACTAAGCATGACAATTACCACCCCAGCCTACACAGCAGCAGAGGAGCCCACCAGTCCAGACCCCCGACAGGGCCAGCCTGCAGCCCCACAGAGGCGAAGGGGGGTGGGGGGCATGATGCCAATGACCGTTTGCGAGACAACAGCTGGTGTCAGCTCAACCCCTCCCAAGAACCCTCAATGTCTACGGTGTGCAGGAGTAGAGTGCAAATGGCCAGAAGCAGCAGGTATAAGTGGCTGAACCTGTGATGATGTCGTGAAGCAATACAGAGGGTATACTGGCGCCTACAGCGAGCAGGAGAGTGCGGTTCAACTGTGGTATAGGCACAAATAAGAAAAGCACAAACAATCAAACATATTTTAAAAAAACTGTGGTACAGGAAAGAGAAACTTCAAATAACACAGGAACATGATCAGAGAACACTGCATCACAAGTTGAGAAAAGAACATAAATGAAGATCAAGTGTGTGTCCGCCTTTATGTGTGGAATGAGACACAAGGTTAAAAGTGTCCGTGATGTTTACAAAGTCCTTTGCCACTGGCTCATTAATAGAACGTGAACATTAAAATCCCTAACAATGAGGACACCATCATATAAAGCATAATGTCAGTCAAGAAACCATAAAAGTCAGCCCATCCATCCATCCATCCATCCATCCATCCATCCATCCATCCATCCATCCATCCATCCATCCATCCATCCATCCATCCATCAATAAACACAGACAAACAGGCACACACATACACAAACATGCATTGCCACCCTCATGCACACATATACAAATACTCAGCACGTGCCCAACATGGAGACAAACAGAAGTGAGCACTGTACACACACTCACATTCTCATACTCTATGTAAAGTCCCCCCTCCCTGGACCCAGCAACCCCGCTGACCCTGGTAGGCACTCTCGTTCCCTGGAATCCACCAAGGGCAACAGCCTGCCCTTGGACCAGGGCTGCTCCAGGGCCCACAGCAGGGGTACTGCCAAGCCCCACAGACGCTGGGGCCAAGTGCCACACACCAACCCGGATCCAT